CTCTTCCCCACCTGGTGGCCGCAGGTGTCCGTTGGCTTGTGGCCGCGCCGCTCTCATCTACTGCTGTGGTCCCAGGGCTGCTTCCTCTTGCGTGTGTCTCTCAAAACTCTCTGCCTCCCGTATAAGGAGAAAGAGGACTGGGTGTAGGGCCCATCCAGATAAATCCAGGAAAAACTCCTCCTCTCAAGATTTGTAATCCCATCTTTTGCCCTCTGTGGAAGTGTATGTTCTGGGGGTTAGGATGTGGACATCTTTTGGGGGACTACCGTTCAGCCCTCTGCACTGACCCTGGTGAGGGGGTGACTCCTCCCTCTTGAAGTCTGATCGCCTTTTGCCTTTCTGCACACCACACACTCCTGGTTTCCCTTCCGTCTCTCTGGCAGCTCTTCTCCAGGCTCATCCTCTTCTATAAGCCACTGGGTGCTGGTGCTTGTCCAGGCTTTGTCCCATGCTCTTTCCTTGACGTTCCCTTTGTGGGTGAGCTCATTCAAAATCACAGCCTCAGTCATCTATATTCCTACTCATATTTCCAGCCTGGACCTCTCTGAGAGCTCCAGACCTGCACAGCCACTGGGTCCGTCCACGTGCATTTGGAGGTCTCAGAGGTGTCCCGACTTCACATAAGTGAGATCACACTAACCGTACTTCTCTCCCTGTGCCCTACCCCTCCTCTCCCCCTCAGCACTTGGTCCTCTTCCTGGGCTCTCTGTCTCAGAGCGTGGGAATCGCTACCCACCCAGGCCCAACCTGAAGCATCATCCTTGACATGGCTTCCTGTCCACCTGCTTTGCCGTATCTGCCTTGCCACCCTGGTCCAGGGCACCGTCATTGCTCATAAACGTCACAAGACCACTTCTAACTGGTCTTGCTGTGCTTTGTCCTTTTTAGCTTCAAACCCTGTCATGGCTTCTCTGTTGCTCTCAGGTTGGTACCCAATCCTCCTTGTGCCCCTGCAGCCTCTCCAGCTCCACAACCGCTCGACTCTCTGAACCCATTTCAGTTCCTCTCGTCCACCACATCCTCTCCCACTGCATGGCCTTCGCACATGCTCTTCCCTCTGCCTAGATGCTCTTCCAGCCTTCCTGCTCACCCCTGCCTTTGCCTACTTGGCTCCTCCTCATCCTTCAGCTATTAGCTTAAGTGCTGCTTTCTCTGGGAAGCCATCGTTGGCCCTCTAGCTGGGCGAGTTCTTTTGTTTGTTACCTCTTTGGTAGGTCTATGTTGGAGTTGTCTTGGCTTGTGATTTTGCATTTACCAATGTGACATTTACTTAATGTCTCTCTCCCTTGCTGGACTGTAAGCCTCACGGGAGCAGGACTCTGTCACTTTAGTTTATCTCTCCATCCCCAGTGCACCCAGCAGGGCCTCAACTATTTGGTGAATGAGGGATTCTTAGTTATGCTTATTATGCTAAATGCTGTTGCTACGTGCTGAGTCCTGATCTAAGCATGCTACTTGCAGTCACGTGGTTAAGTCTCACGAAGCCCTGGGAGGAAGGCATGTCATCCCCCCCCCCCCCCCCCCCCCCCCCCCACAGATGAGAGCACCGAGACACTGAAAGCAAAGTAACTTTCTCCAGGTCACCCAGGAAGTGAGTGGAGGAGCTGGGATTGCAGCTCTAACCACAGCACTACCCCATCTTTCTGGCTGGATCCTCGCCACAGCCCTGTGAAGGTTAAAGATAAGAAAACAGAGGCTCAGAAAGGTGGGGTCACCTGTCCAAGGTCAAACAGCTGGTTGGCAGTTCCCTGCACTGGAAGCTTCCGTGTTTCCAAAGCAGAGCACTTTCTGAGAACCCGATAAACTTTCGGCTGAGTGGGCATTGCATTCATTTCATCAGGGAATCCAACAACTCCCTGGATGCAGGGTCTGTGACAGAGCTGGTCCTTTGCTGCTGAGTGACTTGCGGAGAGATGTGATTACTTGGATGTCCTCCTGATAGGGAGGCTTGGCGGCCCTGTCTCTGCTGGCCTCCCATGGGCTCCGGGCCAGATTTCCCCCACAGGAGGCAGCTCACGTGGGTGCTTCCAGGATGCCCTGGGGCCAGTGGCTCCCTGGCTACTCCCTCTCCAGCCAGGGCGGCCACTTTCCTGTCCAGGCTCCCAAGTTCTAGAGAAGGCCCCACCCTGGTAGAGATGTTTATTAAAATTTTTCTGGCTCTCTGCCTGGCTGGGGAAGAGTTTCTTCCACGACCTGGAACAGGGAGATGGCAGCTGCTTTCCCACTGTTTCCCAGCACCTGCTGTGCTTCTCTTAACAGCCTGCGGAAAGGGCCCTGGCTGAGAGGCAGGGGCCGTCTTCCTGTGGGCCGACTCGCCCACCTACACTGTCTTTTTCTTTTTTAACATCTTTATTGGAGTATAATTGCTTTACAACGTTGTGTTAGTTTCTGCTGTATAACAAAGTGAATCAGCTATACATATACATGTATCCCCATATCCCCTCCCTCTTGCGTCTTCCTCCCACCCTCCTTATCCCACCCCTCTAGGTGGTCGCAAAGCACCGAGCTGACCTCCCTGTGCTATGCGGCTGCTTCCCACTAGCTATCTATTTTACATTTGGTAGTGTATATACGTCCATGCCACTGTCTCACTTCGTCCCAGCTTATCCTTCCCCCTCCCCGTGTCCTCAAGTCCATTCTCTACGTCAGCGTCTTTATTCCTGTCCTGCCCCTAGGTTCTTCAGAACCTTTTTTTTTTT